GGATTGTGCTACAGAATCTTAAAGAAAAGAACTCTACCGGATAAGAGAAACATCATCTGACGCCTTTCAACTGCATCACCAGCTATATTGGATATCACATATAACCCGAAGAGGGAATAATAACGTTCCATACTACTTCAAACAAAAGGTTAGGAAAGAAGCCGCTATCAATTGTGGAAAGAGCGATAAACATTAACAAAATACAATACTCGCCAGCGGCGTGAAGTAGGTAAACCACTGCTAGTAGTGGACTATTTAGACAGCATATTATCCCCCACTTACAATAGTCTCCAAAGTATTTATGAGGATTGGTACATACCCATTAGTGTTCATAGGTACGGTATATAACAAAAGCAATATTTTACAAAAATATTTTCAGTTCTTTTCATTTTGTGCTCATATTTCACGAATTTCGGTTTGCGGTCATGCTTAACGGATTTAATTAAAGAATTTGTCTATTATAGCTTGATCTGTTTAAACTCGTGTCTTCATTTTGGTTATTCTAATCACAACGTTTCGGTCGGTGTACTCTCAGGCCAATTTCAGGCGCCTGTCATATTGTTTACTGTTGTAACCTAGGAAGGGTTACTGAATAAAGAATAACCAAAACGGAGGTTGGAAATGAAATGGTAATCTTTATAACATTAACAAAATACAATACTCGCCATCGGCGTGAACTAGGTAAACCACGGCTGGTAGTGGACTAATTAGACAACATATTACTCCCACTTACAGTAGTGTCCAACGTATTTATGAGAATTGGGACATATCCATCAGTGTCCATACGTACGGTATATAATAAGGCGAATGTTTCCTTATAATGTTACCATTATCCTTACCATGTCAACATATTTTGTTTATTTTCAGAATAGTTGCTTTTTTAATGCCCTATTCCTTCAATTCTTACTTTTCTGTAGATATTCAAATGTCATTTCCTTCCAGAACATAGGGGTTCATAGCTCTCCACACATTCCTTTCATTAATTTTTTATATATTCATCATGACTTCTTGCGGATGAGGTTTGCATTCTTCCCAGGTTTGAATTCCGAATAGTCATTCCTCTCGAGTGGATGCCAACCAAGGCTAGAGATTCTAATCTAACCTGCATGGGAAGTAGAAAAATAAATCGGTTCATGTCTTTCCTAGGGGCAAAAGTGAACACTACAGAATAGGCGTAAATTTGAACGCCGATTCCACTTTCCTGTGCTGGACTTACTTATAAGTTAACAAAAAACTGGATCTTAAGGATACACATCTTCGGGGCTTCATATTTTTAAGGATATCATTATTTATTTTGTCTTTAACACTAAATCAGCAACAATTATTGTAAGCGATCTGGGATTACAATTGTAAATCGCCGTTTTCTTCGCTATAATTATATATAAACATTAATAAATAATAATCATGTATAATTATTTTTGTTTTACCCGAATTTATTCAGAGGAGACCCTTGAATTCCATATAGCTTAGGGCCTCGAATTTTATATAGCTTAGGGCCTCTAATTTTATATAGCTTACGACATCTAATTTTATATAGCTTAGGGCCTCTAATTTTATATGGATTAGAGACTCGAATTTCATATAGCTTAGGACATCGAATTTTATTTAGATTAGGGCCTCGAATTTCATAAAGCATATGATCTCAAATTTCATGTAGCTTAGGACCTCGAATTTTATATGGATTAGATATTCGAATTTCATACAGCATAGCACCTCAAATTTTATATAGATTAGGACCACGAATTTCATATGGCTTAGGACCTCGAATTTCATATAGATTAGAGTTTCAAATTTCATATAGCTTAATACCTCAGCAGGTGAAAGTCCGGCTTTTGCACTTTCGTTGCTAATAACGAATATGCACTGCACAAAAAAACAAAAACAAAAAAAAAACAAAAAAACTAAAAGTTAGAAACTAAAATCGATTTTGAAAGAATTTTCAGAGTTTATATCTATATTGAATTTTAATTTCTGAATTACAGTAACTACTGGGGAAAGACGGTGAAGTCGTTTCTGCCCTAATTTTATAATTCATGTTCGCCTTATTCCTTGATTAGACGTTACCAAACGCTAGAAAGACCAGTATACCTTACTATTTAGATCATAAGTTGGGGAGAAAAGATGGACTCATGCATATCAAAAGGGCATGTGTGCGAAAATGTAAACGAGGGGACAAGGCGGGCATTTGAAATCGGCTCAGCGATTGCACGTTGCCACAGCGATAAAATGACACTTTTCACAATTTTGCCGTGATAAGGTGAGCTTAATATAAGATTGATGTTGCTGATACCCTTTTAATCAATCGTAGAGACATCTTAGAAGTGCTAGTGAAGCTTAAAATAAATGTTTGCATAATTATAATCGCATAAAGTAATTGTATAATTAATATTGGTGAAATAATGAAATTAAAAATGCATCTATAAATACAAAACAATTAAAATAATCGCCCATATTTTCGACTTTGTGCTACATTTAAGGTAATGCTTAATAAATCACTACGTAATATTAAGGTAATTAATAATCTGGATTTATGTATTCGCCATTTTCTTTATATATATATATATATATATATATATATATAATGTGTGTGTGTGTGTGTGAAATATTCTTAAATTAACTTTCTTTTTATTTTCACCTTATGCCCATATTAGGTTGAAACAGCGCTTTTTTTTACGTTCACCGAAGTTAAGCAATGTCTCGCTTGATCAGTACGTGGGTGGGAATTTTCTTGGGAATACCAGACGCTGTAAGCTTGGATCTGCTATGGTTTAAGGATAACGGCTCCGTATAAGAAATCAGAGAGCTTAGTTCCAATTCCAGTCGGGTTCTTCATATTCACTTACGCGAGGATACTCTTGGGAAAGTTATGAATCCACCTCTTTTCCCCCTAGTTATAGGTTAATTAGTAAGTGTAACAGTAAATCATTATTATCCCCCACAAAAAATAAATTCTTACAATGATGAAATTTTTTTTTGTTTAAACGACTTGCTGTTGGTTGATAAGCCGTAAAAAATAAATCATTTATCATCCTTTATCAAATCTCTATATTTTACATTGTATTTAGACAGTTTATCATATACAGATTTCAATGATATACTCAGAGATACTCATTTCATCTGTTAAATTTTCAAATTAACCATGGCGCTTCTAATTACGAAGGTTTTCATACAAAAGATGTTGCTAGTTTTATTCGGTCCCTCTCATGATTTTCTAACTAAACAAAAGGAATGAAAACAATAACGTATACAAACACACACACACACACACACACACATATATATATATATAATTAGAAAAATCCGCAGACTCGAATTCCATTCATGCCCAACATGTGAAGGCTTAGAATAAAAACTTCTGCTATTATTAAAAAAAAACGCACAAATATTACCAAATATTCAAAGCATAAAAATAGGGTAACAATACCAAAACAGCGCCTTGAAAATGCCTAAGGAAGTTGCCGAAAGCGCTTAGGACAACAGACGATATGGAGTACTTCTTCTCTCACAACAAACGGAAAAATGTAAGAACAGGGAAAACTAATAAAAAAATTAAATCATCCTTGTTTCTAATATTTAACAAAAATGTTTAAAAGAAAGGTTATCTCCCAAATACACAATTATCGACATGTACGTGTATATATATATATATATATATATATATATATATATATATATATAATAGCTTGCAGTTAGCCAATTCTTATTGAAGACGCTCGCTCAGGCACATTTATGTTTGTTCAACACCCACAGAGTTCACATGTGAACAAGGCCAGCACACTCAAATCCTCGGTCACGATGACTTATGACTTCTTGCTATCACAGCTATCGACGGCCCTCAAGAGTTCTGTCTAACCAATTTCACTCACAAGGCTTGGGTCAACCCATGGTATCATTCTCAGACACTTCCCAAAAGTGCCGCACGCTGGGATCGCTCCCTTCTCCAGACTAATAACATCAGGAAGTGTTCTTTCTTTGATTCATATCTCTCTATCTCTCTATCTCTCTCTCTATATCTCTCTATCTCTCTCTGTCTCTCTCTCTATCTCTCTATATCTCTCTATATCTCTCTCTCTCTCTCTCTCTCTATATATATATATATATATATATATATATATATATATATATATATATATATATATATATATATATATACACACACGTTATTGTTTTCATTTAGTCGTAATCATAATAGAAGAAAAGTAAGAAAAAACGGTCTTTTGTTAGTGTGGACTTGGCAAAACTTGGTTCCCGTAAATGCATTAGAATTCGATTCTTAGTGTAAATGCAGTTGGGTAGATACTTGCTGTTGGATATAAATCTAACCGACATCTACCTTTTATCGAAAGTACAAACTCGACTTGAATCACTCTTTTTATCAGTTCATTGTGATTTTTCACCTATAAGTCTTATGTTTGTCATAAAAAAAAACCCTCAAAAAGTGCTAATATGTTAAATTCACCAACCATCTTGACTTGCAAAGAAACTTTTGTTTACTTGAACCGTAACACCTGTCTTCCACTATATACCACTGTGTATAATATCCATTTGACTCACCAATAATCGAGCAAACTTAATATCCTTCAACTGCAGACTATGTAAAAGTGGTAATAGTTAATCTCAGAATAACTGTCTTCTTTCATCTATCAACAATTTCATTTATACGGCTTATTGCACTTTATGAGTCAGACAAAAATGCATCTTTTAAAGCATTCGGCGTTTTACAGAAATAAAGCTTCTAGCAGTTGACATGTTGGACAGAGACTAGGCTTTGAGATTCCACACACACTGTTAATGAATCATCTTTACTCAATTTGCAAATAAGTAAATTTTATGAATAAATCGTGAAGCTGAAGTTACTGTTTGCTTCATTTGCAGACGAGATTATTAAAAACTGCGGATGTTTGGTAACAATACAGAAGCAGTTAGGAAGATTGAACGGTTAGAGAAACTGGCATACGTAGAGAAGAGGATAACAGAAGAAAATATTGGATTGCATTTAGATGGATGATGAAATGAGAGAAGAAATAACAAATCTTACGCTCATTACTACTTTTCCAGATATCAACCCTACTGAATTGGTTTACCCAATTGAAGCCGGTGAAAATGATTTTTGGTTACTTTTCGCCACTCTTGTGTTTTTCGCACATCTGTTGGTTACTTGGTTCCTTTCTCTCCTTCCTTCTTTCCTTCCTTCCTTCCTTCCTTTCCTTCCGTCCTTCTTAATTTCTTTCCTTCCTCTCTTCTTTCTTCCTTCGTTTCTACCTTTTTACTTCCTTCCTTCCTTCCTTGTCCTTTATGTCCTTCCTTCCTCCCTTCTTTCTTTGCTTCTATCATTCCATCCTTATTTCCACCTTCACTTTCCTTTTCCCCTTCATGCCTTCGTTCATTCTTTCTTTTTCCCTTCTTTAGTTCCATCTTCCCACCTTTCTTTCTTTCCATCTTCCCATCTTCCTCTCGTTCCTTTATTTTCCACTCTTTCTTTCCCTTCCATCCTTCCTTTCTTTGCTGATTTCTTCCCCACGTTCTTTTCTTCCACCCTTCATTCGTTCGTTCATTCCTTCTTTCCTCCCTTCTTTGCTTCCTTCTTCCTTCCTTCCTTCCTACATTCCTTCCTTCCTTCCTCTCTCTCTCTTCTTTACTTCCTTCCTTCCTCTCTCTCTCTTCTTTACTTCCTTCCTTCCTCTCTTTCTTCTTTACTTCCTTCCTCCTTTCTTTCCGTCCTTCTTATTTTCTTTCCTTTCTCTCTTCTTTCTTCCTTCTTTTCTATCTTTTTACTTCCTTCCTTCATTCCCCCTTCCTTCCTTCTTTTGTCCCTTCAGCCTTTCCTTCCCCCATTGTCCTTTATTTTCTTCCTTCCTTCTTCCCTTTTTCTTTTCTTCTATCATTCCTTCCTTATGTAGCACCTTGCATTATTAGAAATATTCATAGAAATATGATTTAATTTTTTCTTACTTGGTTTACTAAACAGGTTGTTGATTTTTTAAAACGGAAAAATAATTGAGTTGAAAATAATTCACTAAGATTGTACTTAGACGATCCTAAGGGAAGAAGAGGAAAAGAAAGAAAAAGAGAAGAAAGAGGAAGAAAAGAAAAAAGAAGAAAGAGAGTTGGATGATGCATGACCCAGTCAATGGTGGAGATAGGAGTCAGAAAGATATCTTGGCCTGCGTGTGGCCGAATTTTTAAAGACAATTGGAAGAATAGAATTAGAAATAATAAGAAGAAAGAAAGGAAAAGACATGATATCAAACGGGCCGCTTGATGAAAACCAGATATCGGTCAAAAACATCTGACCTACTTTTGCGTAGAAAGACTCATTATCAATTTGGAGTAAAGGGAAATTTTAAGAACAATGAGAACGAAATCTTAATCAGAGAAAAAGTGTTTTTGGGTTGAGGGGAGTGACCGGTGGAACTATATACAGATCCTGACCTATTAAGAATTGGAAACCTACGATAATAAAGTGGGAACATTTTCAATGTAGATAATCAAGATTTTCTGACTGTCGGGTCTGACAAAGACGGGAGGTGAAGGGGACGATTGTCTCAGTTCACAGATAGCGCCAATATTCTTCCCTGAAGTCACATCTAATTAGCGGCGGGCTGTTTGACAGAGCCCAGGTGAGAGAAAGCCAAGATTGTCATTTTCGTACGTGCAGAAAAGGCAAAATTGGATTTTGTTTTTTAAAACAAGAACGATGTAACCACGCCCGAAAGGAGGAGAAATGATGCTCGATCAATAACAATTGGTCGGAAACGGTCACGTGATCTGCAGAAAAGAAGAGAAAGAAATGCCCGATCAGGAACCATTGGTCGAAAAACGGTCACCTGACATACGAGAGACTAAGAGAGATGGGTGTGCACCTCCCCACAAAAGGCACTGTGAGGAAGTAGGGTGAAAACAATAGCGATAATGGGAAGTCAAAAATAATGCGACTTTTTTGAATTATCGAGAAACCACTGACGCCGACAGACCCACCCCGGTTTGCTGCGGCGTCAATAAAAGCAGGGCCCCAATCGACAAAAGGCAGTTCAGCCCCGGACGGCAGCGAGAAGAGATCACCTCGGACGACAGAGAGTTGCGGCTGAGTTGCGGCAAGAAATCCTTCCAGCCCAAGTCGAAGACAAGAGAAGTTGCAGCCAAGTCGAAGACAAGAGAAGTTGCAGCCAAGTCGAAGACAAGAGAAGTTGCAGCCAAGTCGAAGACAAGAGAAGTTCTATCTTAGTCGACGAAGAAGAAGAAATACAACTCAAGTCGAAGAGAAGAATCAACTGCGAATGATCGATAGAAATTAGCCCCAGTGTCGAACTAAACCACACTCCGACATACACAATTCTAAAGAGTAGGCAATTCGAAATCTTTAGGTTGTGTGATAGAAGCTTGGTGCCATAGTCCACAGAGCGGGTCGGGAATTGAGAACAATTTTGTTTTTTATGTAACGGACATTAAGATATAAAAGGTTGTTACCCTTTTTTTTTTTCATCAGCAATCTTTTTGTCTCGTGAGTTTATTTTCTCTTTTATTTGTGTTTTGCCACCCCGTCGGACTCAACTTGTATCGGCCCCAATCCTGCTGGTCCCGTCTGTCTAAGATCTAAACACAGCGTGGGTAGACAGACCGGAGATCGGTACAGTTGCTTTAGTGACCAGGTATTGGAAGCGAGTTGGGAAAGGCGAGGCTGGTGATCATCCAACCAAGGGGTTGGAGCGGCACGCTTGGAACCAGGAGGAGCGACCAGGAGGAGCGACGTCACAGTTGGCGCCGTAACCAAGGGATTCGACCCTGGGTCAGGTGTGTAACCGTCACACTTATTTCCTCCTTCACTTTCCTTTCTCCCTTTATTCGCTCGTTCATTCTTTCTTTCTTCCCTTCTTTAATTCCTTCTTCCCTTCCTCATTTCTTTCGTTCCATCTTACCCTCCTTTCTTTCCTTCCTTTTTCCTCTCTTTCCTTCCTTCCTTTCTTATTTTTCCCCACGTTCTTTTCTTCCATCCTTCATTCGTTCGTTCATTTCTTCTTTCCTCCCTTCTTTAATTCTTTCCTCCCTTCTTTACTTCCTTCCTTTCTACATTCGTTCGTTCGTTCCTTCCTTCTTGTATTCCTACCTTCCTAATGGTTAATAATTAGTAATGTATTTTCAAAAGATAACCGTTTATTAACCTCGAGTGAATTCGTTGAATTGAAAGAGGAATCGTTCTTTTATGGTGGAATATGAAATTTAGATGAAAGTTGACGTAAGATCCAACACGTCATGGAAGAAACGTTTCTGGCTGAATAAAGACGCTCTGAATTTATACGAATAAACGATTTTGTCGTAAAAATGCCGGAACATAAGCCTCATAATTAAATTCGTAATCAGCGTAATCACTAACGCCATCGAAAAAAAATGTAGTGAGAACTTTTGCAAAAGACGAATACTTCGAGCATAAGAAATGGTTAAACTTGGCTAGAATTTCCACTGGAATACCATTCTTGAACGCTGTTGCCATAAGATAGGAAATCTAATTCAGTTTAATTCTCTTTATGGATATACTGGCTCAAGTTCACTCCAGTTCACATTTGTGGGTGGGTCGCATGCAAAATTGGTCAATGCAGTCCGATTCAATCGATTAATGGACTTTGCAATCAAATGACCGACGTAATAACAAATTTTATGAGTTCATCGTGGGAATTTTATAGACATTTGTTAAAGTTATAAGCAATTAGATACGCGCCTTCCCTAATAGCCCCTTTAATGACATCCTCGAAGAGAAGGCGCACGTCAAATTCAGTGAAAGAATAAACTTAGGGAGCTAAGGGCTAGGTACGTTGGATGAATAAATGGATACTATCTATCTATCTGAAAGTTGTATGTATAATTTGAATACTACCGGTCAAAAGTTTGGGACTATTCTTAATTGTTTATCTCCGTTTATAAAAATGGCTAATTTCCCATATTTTGAAAAAATCATCTATTGTGTATATATGCAAAACTTTATATAAAATTCAGACGCATTTTTCTACAAGTAATAGAAGTTTATTTGCATAAATTTTGGAAATTCTGTTACATGATACTTATATGAATTGAGTAAAAAATTACATATATTTCAACTCAATTGCTTTTTTCTTTTTTTTTCTTTTTTAAGCATTACGCCCCGAGCAAGGCGTGAAGCCACTAGGATGCAGGGGGTTGCAGAAGATTTGGAGTGAGAGCAGATAGGAGAGATTGAAGAAAGGATGAGGAGAAGGATAGTGGATAGATCAAGGTAACTGGAGATGTCGATTGACATTACATTTGAATAGTTGGAGATTGTAGCTCTCAGGGAAACAGTAATTGGGAAGGGTGTTCCACAGGCGAGAGGTGCGAGGTATGAAGCTATTGGAGTAGAAGAGACGGCTACATTTAAAAGTTTCTACAGTGTAAGGGTGGGAGCGCGATGCCAGCCTCGTAGAGCGCTTGAATTCATGGAGTCTGGGAACCAGTGAAAGCAGCTCATCGGAGCAATTACCATGAAAGTATTTGTAGAAAAGACAGAGAGAGGCAACGGCGCGTCTGTGAGAGAGTGACTGTAGACGAGATGCCAGATCAGGGCCAATTATATTACATATCCGTCTTTGGATCTTGTCAAGAACTTCGAGGTAAACAAGGTGCACCAGACCATATATGGCAACAATGCTCCATGCAAGGGCGAATAGTTGATTTGCTTGCTAGAGGTTCAATTCCATCTAGATTAATAAGTGACTGAAATTAATTTTCAGAAACTGTTAAAATGACAAGAACTAAAAAGATTAGTAAAAAGCTCAAATGGAAATTCTTTCGATAGAAGTGTATTCAGAAGATCAGATTGCTAGAAAATTACAGATATCAAATGATGGGATACATTATTACCTGCAGCTTCATCTAGCAATCGATGAAAATGATTTGGTAGGCCCAGAGTAACATCTATTACGTACGATACAAACTTGATCGTGTCTAGCAAAAGAAATAGAAGAAAAAAACAGCTACCCAAGTAAGTGCTGAATTAAATTCTACACGTCAACATCTAATATTTGTTAAGAGAAGACGCCTTTCTGTTAACGGATGCCAATCAGTCATGTGCCATGCGTGATACACAATTAAGCGATCGTGTTTCTTTCGATACATGACTGACGAGGCAGTTTTTTCCCGCGGTAGGTTGCCATTTCTTTCTGCGATAGACCAGTTGCCATCCAAGGCTATGGAACCCGGTCTGTCCTGATATTTACCCATAGCTGGTGGAGGAGGGGAGAAAAATAGGATTCATACCTTATCCAAGGGTATTAGCATGTAAGTGAATATAATGGATTCGAATGGAATTGGAACTCGGCTCTCCGATTCCCCAATCCGAGCCGTTATCCATTACTCTACCATATCGGCTTACGGTCAAATCACGCTGAAACACCGGTTCTCGTTCGATCACCGAAGTTAAGCATCGTAGAGCCAGGTCAGTACTTAGATGGGGGACCGCTTGGGAACACCTGGTACTGTAAGCCCCAAAAGTCCAACCCTTACCTCACAGTCGGTGGGGGTGTAAACGGTAGTGTCAGAGCTATGCCGCCCGGAACTTTGTTCCTGGTAGGGCCACCGAAGGCGGACAAGTCTGACACACACGCCGGCTAACAAGGGCTCTGGTGAAAATCCAAGGAGCGTCTGCATCGGTAACCGGCGGCTTCTGGTCGTTCCTGTCTCTGCGTCGGTGGGAACCCCGCGGCAAGCAAGAACGTTATCCGAGTAGGCCTGGGTACCCTACTTCTGTAATTTATCCCAAGAATCTTCTTCTCATAACAGGAAGAAGCCGGCTCAATCCGCCCAGGGTGAATGCCGCATCAGTACAGTACTCTACCATACCAGTTAAGAAACCTCTCTTAAAAAAGAAAAATAAGTAGAAAAGAATAAAGTGTGCGCAACAGCACAAGGACTTTAGAAGATTGGTAAAAGGTACTATGGCGGATGGCTCAAAATTTGTGCTTTTACGATGTAAACAAAATGTTTTGTCAGTCAAACGTATAAGTGAAAATTGAATTGTTAAGGAAGGATTCGTACTGTAATGGTTCGGGAATGTTTTGGAGGTGAGATTGCAAGAAAATTTGTTTAAATTAAAGGCAAAAGGAAGAGTATCATTCAATATTGCAGAGACATGCAGTTTTTTTTTCCTTTGGACTCTGAGCTTGGATTCTGATCGATTGTATTCGCCTGAATTACATGTTCTTAATTCTTTTTTTATTCCTTAATTTTCCTTAGGTATTGGTTTGTTCATTTACAAGCCAAAAGAACTAAGGTTTTTCCGGACGAGTATACTTACTGATATTTATAAGATCATTATATATATATATATATATATATATATATATATATGGGATAAAGGATCAATATTAGAGATAGGGCCTATATAAATACAAAAGTGAACATTGAAATCAACACTCAGAATGCAACAGGTTGTTTCATGCTAGACGTAATCTAGATTTGCGTCTAGCATGAAACAGCCTGTCGCCTCTGAGTGTTGACTTCAATGTTCATTTATATATATATATATATATATATATATATATATATACTTGTGTGTGTGATAGTAAGATGTAGAATAATATGGGAACAAAAGTGAAATTAAAGTGACAAAGGTTGAAACTTATTTCAAAATTCTCCAAAGCCAATCTTAACATGTGAGGTGTGCTTGAACATGGAAAACCACACAAAAATTTAAAATACAAGAATGTTTAATAAAAATAAAACATGCTTAATTTACAATCGTTTCCTATTTGTTCCTTATCCTATCATTCTATCGGAAGCCAAACATTATTTGATCTATATTTGATGCAGATTCATATATATATATATATATATATATATATATATATATATGGACTGTCGATTGCATTTAGCATAAAACATAGTGTCGCCTCTCGGTATTGACTACACTGTCTACTTATATATATATATATATATATATATATATATATATATATTATATATTTGGTTGGATAGATGTGAGTTTGTGATCCTGAGTTTCACACTTTAGTTTGTCTGACGATCGCTAAAGCGTGAAACCCAGGGTCACAAACTCACATCTATCCAACCAAATATGTTAGCTCTATCTCTGATATTGAGCGCTTTCTAATAAGTACCACGCATATAATATATAAATAATTATACATGTATATATTTATTTATATTTATATACACTTTTCACACACACACATATATATATATATATATATATATATATATATACATTATCGTCGCAACACCGAAATTCCCATGTTTTTTTATAATTTAATTTAAATTAGAGTTTCAAATAAGAAACATGAGAATTTCGGTGTTGCAATGATAATATATAAAAAGAAAATATATATATATATATATATATATATATATATATATGCATATGTGTGTGTGTTATTTTTATAGATACAACAATTTATTTTAGTAAATGCTCTGTTTTTAATTAAACAATATTAATTACATTTACCGGCTTGAATGTTCGAGAAATTTCGTAGAAAATATGCGTCCTCTGACAGGAAATTTCTCGAACATTCAGAGCGGTAAATGTAATTAATATTGTTTAATTAAAACAGAGCATTTACTTAAATAAATTGTATCCATATATATATATAACGTGTAAGTCGAAAATATATTAGATTATACACGGGCTTAATCCATGTAATTACATATATATATATATATATATATATATATTGGAACAACTTTAACCATTTCCTTATATATATATATATATATATATATATATCAGTATATTTGGTTGGATAGATGTGAATCCTGGTTTCACGCTTTAGCGATCGTCATTAAAACTCTGACGATCGCTAAAGCGTGAAACCCAGGGTCACAAACTCACATCTATCCAACCAAATATATTAGTTTACCTCTGATATATATATATATATATATATATATATATATATATATATATATATATATATATATATATATATATATAGAAAGGAAATGGTTAAAGTTGTTCCAACGGGAGAAAAGTGCATATATTAAAAGAAGAAAAAACCGTTAACGTTTTTGGTTGCAATGTGGATTTTTAAAAAAAATATATTTTACTTTATTTTCCATGATTTTTCTACACGTGTTTCCGGTCTAGCGACCTTGATCAAGCAAAGAGTGGATATTATTAAAAGAAATTAATTTTTCTTATGTTTTCCGATGTTAAACATTCTCGTTATTAGACATTGTATTTTTTGTGTTTAGTGACCAAAATGTCTTCCTTAAACTGGGAGTGAAAAAATTCTTCTGTGTAAAGAGTAATAAAACAATTAAGAATAATCCGAGAAGGGATGAGAAAAACATATCTGTATTCTTATCTTTTAATGATCCCTCTGTGTTCTTCCATCTATTTCCATTTTTTTGTGTTTTTGCCAGCATGCGTATGTATACGTATATTCCCTCTCCATACATACTGTCTTATTATAAAGAATTAGTATACACATATATACACATACACATATATATATAGACACATACCTACAGACACAAAAACACACACAGGCACTTCCTATGTTGTTTGGGGTTAATTCCTTTTAATAATATGTAGAAATATCCACTATTTGCCTGATGAAAGTCGCGAGACCTGAAACACGCGTAGCAAAATTATGGAAAATAAAGCATAATATATTTTTTTTTAAAATCCAGAAAAAAACAAAAACGGTTGTGGTTTCTCCCTTCTTGTTAATATATACACTTTTCTCTCGCTGGAACAACTATAACATTTTCCCTTTGATCAAAATTTATGAATATGTCCTGAAGATGGTCTACTAGACCGAAACGTCCGACATTGACATTATATTAACATTAAAACAGCATAATTGTATATTAGGATTTTTGTTTGTTTTTTCGTATATTTTTCTTCATACTGTCGGATCTATATCCATATATTTGCTTATATATATATTAAGAAATGGACAAAGTCCGACAATTTATTTATTAAAGACATTTTTGTGTTTAACGTTTTATTAAGCCCGAGTATAATCTAATATATGTTCGACTTACACGTTATATATATATATATATATATATATATATATATATATATGGATACAATTTATTTAAGTAAATGAATGTACGAGATTCATGGAAGATTGAAGTTTATAAGCAGTAAATTCGACCTTGCCTACTGAACGCTCCCTTGTGGCCGAGTCGGTTAAGGCACGTCAGCGTAAATGACGGTTCCGTATAGGATGCAGGTTCGAATCCTGTCAAAGGACGAATATTTTCTATGAAAATTTCACTGACATTCAGGCCGGTAAATGTTATTTAATACTGTTTATTATAAACAGAGCATTTACTTAAATACTTGTATCTATAAAAAAAAAAGAACGTTAAACATAAAAATGTCTTTAATATATATATATATATATATATATATACAAAGCCAAAAGAAAAACATATCTTAGGCGCCTTTCCGAAGCCAACATACATGACTAAAAAGCTCAAAAATTTAAGAAATCGGTTATATTAATAAGCTTTTTTATTTAAAATCTATAATACATAAATTAATCCCAAAATAAAATAAGTTAAATATTAATTGCATATAAATAATAAATTCAAAAATATAATTTACTCATTTTCGTTAATTAGACATTAATTTGTCACTTAATTAACGTTAATTAAACATTATGTCACTTCATAATTTACTTAGAATCGTCAATTAATCTGATGAATATTTATGTCTGTTTCCTTGAATTAAAAAAAAATGAAAAACTAACAACAAAAATTTACTTTTGGTTTATAAATACTTGTTGCAAAATAAATCCTGTTACTTGTGTTGATAACGTTCAACATAGAACGAAATGCGTCGGCTATTTTTTCTTTTGTCTTTGTTCGTATTTTCCTTCTACATATGTATATTGTAATTATATCTGAAATTTCACACATAGACGCATATACATGTATATTATTACGTAACTAATTATATAGTTTTATAATGTAAAAGTATCATATCAGATCGAAGTACCATTTCTCGTTCGATAACCGAAGTTAAGCAAAGTTGAATCTGGTCAGTACTCAGAGTGTGAGAGCTGGGGAATATATGACAGACAGAGAGATAAATATATAGACGGGGGGTTATATGGATAGATATATTGGCAAAGAGACAGAAACAAATAGATTCATACATACTTACATGCACACATACACGCATACACACATATAAAGACAGGCAGAAAACATCAGAATACATCAGACAGAAAGACAGACAGATAGATAGATAGATAGATAGATAGAGAGATACATACATAGAAGGGAATAGATAGATATGAATAGACAGAGATAGATAGACAGAGAGATAGATATGAATAGACAGAGATAGATAGACAGAGAGATAGATATGAATAGACAGAGAAATAGATAGTTAAAAACCCGGACTTGATTTGTTGAGATATAGGTAAGTAGAAAAAGAGAGACAAATGTCAATCATATAAAAAGAGAGACATTTATATGCAAGAAATCATATTTTTAGAAAGGAGAGAAACATAAGCACAAACATCACGACATTCACATCAATATGCACTCGTTTTCTATTTCAACCCTGTCATAAACATTCCCTGCATATTCACTGTCAACTGACATGCGCGTATAGATGTACGCATGCGCTTTGGGGAATCCCTTTGATTAGATCTAACTGCTACTCTGGCGAATTGTTTCCCTTCAGTGCATTATTTTGAATCCTGAAAGATTTTCAAATAGTTTTAAAGGTAAAAGACGACGGATTTTTGCGATTCTGGTCGACTAGCACCGTGTCAAAGAGTAAGAAAGTTAATTTTCGTCGGAGTGTCTCGTTGTTAGATTAGCTTTAATCAGACAAGCGAGATTTTAACAGCGAGATAATACGATGAGCCGTAATTAGCATTTCAGACCTGAAGGAAAAAAAAAAGAAGAAAAGTGTTGAAAGAAAGGAATTGTAAAAAAAAAAAAAGAAAGAAAAAAAAAGAAGAGGCGAGCGAAAGGAAAATATAATGGTAACGAAGAGAAAATGGAAGAAGGGTTGATAAAATCATTGTCTAAAGAAAAGAAGAAAAGAAAAATTATGAATAAGAATAATGATAAGAACAACATAATTGACAAGGTGATGGGTATAACAGTTCTTTTTTGATTAGCAGTATAGCATGAATTATTTACTGAACACCGACAACCCATTCACTCTTAATTTTCGATGCATTTCTGAATTAAAATACAATGCAATCCAGTTAGTTCATCGCTATTTCCATGGAAAGTGTCCAGACAAAGTATATTCCTTAGTTCAATCAGTACTAATCTTCACGGCGAAAAGCCGCCATACCATGTATGGCATAGCGAATCACCCACCTTCCATTTGTATTCCACTGGATTTTGATCAGACTCTGTTGAAAGACGAGAACAGATGATAAAATACAAAAACTACTAATTTTCCTCCTATACAAGGCACAAGATCCACTCAAGGTAGCGTTTTACTGAAGGAAGATCTACGATAAAAAAAAAATTCTTTCCGTTTCATAACTTATACTAAATAATTTTATTATTACTACATTCTTTTATTCTTCCTCTTTTTATTTCTTTACATACATAATTTATAAATTACATTTTATCCTAGTAACTTATAGGTAAATATACCGTAATAATTGCAATTTCGGCTATTTTGGATCAGGTTTCACTTTTGGCGGCTCACGGCCACGTCAAGTTGAACCAACGATTACCGTACGATCAGCGAAGTTAAGCAACGTCGATCCTGGTCAGTACCTAGATGGGTGACCATTTGGGAATACCAGGTACTGTAAGCTTGGATGGGTGGGTGATGTGACGGATAATTTTTCGCAATTGTTAATCTGAAAGCCGTTTTCCATTTCCCGCTGTGATCGTTATCTTCGCGCACGCGCAAATATTCTTGGCGAATGTATACTCCATATTTTCTCCACCTTGCTAGGCCTTAATTAGTAAGACCTTTATAAGTAAAACTTCATTATCTTAAAAAAATTTCTTACAGTCTAAAAGAAATTTCTGGTTTTAAATAACTTACATTGGGTTGATAACCCGTACAAAACAAATCAATCAACTCTTTTGGAGAAATGGAGAATGATTGTGATATATAATGTCCCTATATTACTAAATTTAATTCTGTGACTGACAAAAATACACGGTCCGAAGGGTAAATAGTAGCCATTATATATTTTTAATTTTGCGCATGCGCATTGTGTGGGTTTTAATTTTGTCGACTGCACAGCATAGAAGGGCCAGTTGGACACCGTCAGTGAGAAAAAGTGCACCCTGGCGAAATTCACTCAGCCAGAAATTTGGAAACGGCATGCTGCAATGCTTGGCATTCATGCCGGAAGATCCAGTACGAATATTTCAGTGTTTGGATGTCAATCCGAGGACAGTGCAGAGGATTCGGAAAGAGTTAGATGAGTCTAATGGTGATTACGAAAGTGATAGGAGTGATAGCTAGTGATGGCGACGTTATGCCTTCATTCATCCTCCCACAGAGTGTCAGACTCAACACGAAGGCCCATATCAAGTGCCTTGAGGAGGCACTTGATATGGTTCAAGATGGTGGCTGGTGGATGACTTGATGTCTGGCAACAGGACTCTGCACCATGCCATACAAGCAGGAGAATCCAGTCATGGCTGTCAGTCAATTTCTGCGACCACATCATCTTTTACATTTGGCCACCTAACTTCCCAGACGGTAACCCCCTTGATTATTATGTGTGGTGCGCAGTTGAGCGAGAGACTGACAAAACAACATGTAACACCAAAGATAAATGGAAGGTAAGGATTATGGCAATATTCACTAACTTAAACAAGATGAACGTACAGAAGAGGAGGAGATTCTCAAGTCGTCTGGACGGCATTATTTCAGCCAATGGCGGTTTCATTGAATAAATTTACTCTTCACTATTTCAAGTTACTTTTTGTGTCATTTTTTAAATGTTTCTCAGTGTTATTTTCATATTTGCTTAATGTCAGTTTTCTTTTCATTTTTACGTAATTTAGACGACAGTTTTCCCATCGCACACTGTATTTTCAAGATTTAAAATGTATTCTTTAATAATCATATATATTCTTCTTTTAATACATTCTTTTATTCCTGACCATTGTATTATTGGCAAAATCCATCATCTTCTGCAGAAGAGTAATTCCTCTTCCAAATAAAGGGTCCACATTCTCCGTGGATAATTACAGACAAGGATATAAACCTAAACACCAGGTGACTGACTCATTGTGCATTCCCGGGCTAAAGTTTCCGCAGATATAAAGCGGAAAGAGTATATTGAAGCAATTGCTTGGTTTGCTTCTAGCAGAGTTGGCTCCCTTTATCGTGCTAGACAAATTTTCTCGCCAGAATACTATCCTGTATATCTATAAGTCCATGCATTAAATACCGTTTTCACATCTAGTTGAATACTTCTGCTGTGTATTTAGAGATTCCAGAGAAAATACATTTTCGAACATCAAAGTTGAATAGGAAGCAAAATACAGGTAGAGAGTTCCACAAGCCAGTAGTGAAGGACTATAAACTGCTTGCATAGAACTTACGGTTACATTTCGTCATTTCAACAATAAAATGATGGGACATTTTCGAAAAGCTAGTATTGCGTTTAAATTAATAAATTCTAAAAAGGAAAGTTAATCAGAACAATTACCTTGGAAGTATTTTTATAGAGAAGGTACGAGATATCTACGATACGGCATTGGGAAAGTGACTGAAGTGTAGATGTCACTTCAGTACTGATAACATTGCAGAATCTTTGGATTTTATCAAGGTTCTCTAAATAAAAAGTAGAAACATCAGATCAGATGTGGCATCAATATTTAAAGCAAGGACGAATGGTAGAGTTGTCAATATGTGAGATTCACGATTCTGTCGAAAGGCACTGGATATACAGCCGGAGCACCAATCCAGATATGGCATCAATATTTAATACACTAATGAATTGTAGAGTTATACATGTGAAAGAAAAAATTGTGATACGACACAGTGAATCAACTGTTCTAGTAGCAGAGCTAAGAACTGATGCAAGACAATCTTTTCATTTTATGTCATCGGAAACGTTAGCCCGATAAAGCGCAATCAGTCATTCTCTTGGAGTTTATATATAACCCAACAAGGACACCTCGAGGTGGTGTAATGGTTAGTAAGGTTGTCTCGATAGAACGATTTCGACTGAGTAGTGAGTTCGATCTTCACTGGGTGACCCATACTTTCGGTCTTGCGCCACATCTAAGCTACGCTTAGAAAAAATCAAAATGAGCCAACTCGAGGCGGTGTAATGGTTAGCAATCTTGTCTCGATAGAACAATTACGACTGAATAAAGAGTTCGATTCTCACTGAGTGCCCCATACTTTCAACGTAGTGCCACGTCTAAGGTACGCTTAGAAAATCAACATGGAGCACCTCGATGTGGTGTAATGGTTAGCACGCTTGTCTCACTAAAACATTTACGGCAGTGTAGTGAGTTCTATCCTTACGGGGTGCCCCATACTTTCGGCCTTGTGCCACATCTAAGTTACGCTTAGAAAATCAAGATAGGGCACTTCGAGGCTGTGTAATGGTTAGCAAGCTTGTCTCGCTAGACCAATTACGACTGATTAGTGAGTTCGATCCTCACTAAGTGCCCCATACTTTCGGCCTTGTGTCGCATCTAATCTACTCTTGGAAAATCACTATATATAATCCAACAAGGATTGACATATCAGTAAATTAACCAACCTAACCGATATTCCTAACTATTGACACTAATTTCCTTCCTTATTTTCAACGCATTTCTTTTGTAAAATTACTTTAAATATTTACGCTAATAAAATGCTTTCAGAAAGTAATATTTGGAAGATATTTGATTAAATAGATTTAATATAATTTTAAATGTAAAAGACGATGGATTTTTCGCTTTTGGTTTATTAGCACCGAGTCAAAGAGTAAGGATGTAAATTTTTGTCGGGTTGCCTAGTTTGATTAAAATTCACCAGAGAAGCAGTCACGTTATATTAAATATGATTGAGAGTTAATATCGCTTGAGCCTTTTGGTAAGTTTCGAATATACCACAAAATCTCAGGTAGAGTCTTGTAAAGAACTCGCTGAAATTAAACATAAATGTCCAAGTACGTTCAACCATTGTTCAAGTATTTTATTTATTTAGACGAAGAGAAAATCGAACAAGACAGGATTTAAAGTTTGAATAGCACGCATAAATAGGAGAAGCCCGAAATAATTCTTATTTTTACATTTCTGTTGTCGAGAGAACACAGTCGGCCTACTATTAAACTCTAGTTTTAATATAGAAGAGATTGATTCATAAATTTTGAATATGTTTTGTCTAAAGTTCACATATTTCAACTGATTGAACTGAACATTTGCGCACTTCATCTTGGTGCGACTTCTAGCAAGTGTGTTTCGTTAGATCAATAAGAATTGATCTCTGATGAAGTTCGAATATAAGCGAAATATGTTAAATTTATAAATGTTTCCTATTTGTTAATCATTCTATCCTAATTGTTTGCATTTTGCGATAGCTTTAGTGGAAATAAATAAGTGTAATTCATTTAGTTCAATTTGAAAGTTATATAGATAAATCGACAACTAAAAAATAGGAAGAGTCTGTAACGTGATATCTGATCAAATCTTCGTAACCCTGCATATCAATACATATGGCTTTTGATCAGACTCTGTTGAAAGACGAGAAGAGATGATAAAGTACAAAAACTACTAATTTTCCTCCTATACAAGGCACAAGATTCACTGAAGGTAGCGTTTTACTGAAGGAAGTTGTTGTTTGAATGGTAAGAGTGAGAGATAAGCGGCGACATTCACAGGGAAAATAACAGTTTACCCGTGACTTAAAAAGGTCAATGTTGTAGTGGCTCGAAGAGCATTCTTGGGAGTCGGTTCTACAAAGTATCTGTTCGTGCGAAGAGGTTACTTACTAACGAAAGGGAATAGAGGGTTTCGTCTCATTGTACGCGGCGTGGTTGGTCTTAGCTGTGAGGGTTAGGGTTGGTGGAACTAAGATGTGTAACTCGTCAAAACATGGAAATAATAATAGAATAGTGAGAGGCTTGCAACTTTTGGTCTGTGGGAAAGGAGTTGTAGAGTAGAAAATAATTCATCATATATATATATATATATATATATATATATATATATATATATAGTCATCAACAGATACACTGTTTCGTTGTATCACAGCTCCTCAGTGTGGCTAGACGTCATCGAAACCCGACTGATTTGACATCAGTCAGATATCCTATCTCTAGGCCATAGTCGCACGACAGAAAGGAAGGGAATGTTAAAGTTTTTCTCTATCTGAAATACGCCAGGGACTCGGAGAACTAAATTCACTTTACTTGAAGAGTAATGCAAAATAGCAGTAGGAGCCGCTGTTTTTTTTTAAAAAAACCCCGTTCCTTAGAGAGCTCAACCTGATTTTCGAGCGCATATATATATAGTCGTGCACAGACAGGCTGTTTCACTGTATCACAGTTCCTAAGCGTGGCTAGACACCCGATTGCTTCAATCAAGGATCGAAACCCGACTGATTTGACATCAGTCAGATATATTACTATCGTCGTACGGCAGAAACGAAAGGAACTTTAACGTTTTTCTCTATACGAAATTCGCCCGTATTAAGTACAGTTTAATCGATAACAAAATAGAAAAAAAAATCGAGTGATGTATGAAGTCCTAAATGACAAAACGTCTTTTAGGACTTCAGACCAAAGTGATGTTTACTTTGATGCAACTATATATGAGCATGAAGGAGAGGGGAAACTAGCATTTTAAATTTAAATTCGATTATTTTTAAATTTATTTTTTATAGTCTAGTCGTTTCAATTTAGTTTCTTTTTTTTTTTTTCGTGATTCCATCTTTTTTGTTATTAAATATCCCACATTGTGATAATCGAAGATCTCCCAGGAAAAGTGAAATGTTGTACCTTGACGTAAATTTTCTTTGGGTGACCTAGATGTTTAAAGCACGTTCTATAAAATTTCGTCTTAGTAAATTGCGTTCTCTTTTAATTAAAGTAGGAATTTTAAAATCAAAATTATGGTCGGACTCATTGAATGTGTTGCTTGTAAAGTATCCCTTTTGTGTTCATATAATCTTTTTACTTAAATTACTTGTGGTTTCACCGACTAATCCGTTGTGGCAATTATTACAGGTGGTAGAATAAATTCTTCCTTGAAGTTTTACCTTAGTATTATTTCGTTTTGTATAAATTACATCTTTTAATGTTTTAGAATTATTAATGCTGGTGGATAAAATAATATAATTTGATTCGCTAGGTTTGTCAGAATTGTCTATTTTGTTACGCATTGAATATGAAATAATTAGGGTATTACAGGAGCTTAAATGTATTTTCAATGTATTTCTACTCTTCATGTAGATATTCAGGGATTCAAATTCTGAGTGCTCTTAAATAGAATCCGATTATTATTTTTACACTTTGCCATATATTTTTCTGATTTTGTACTTGATATACGCAAATGTATATATCGATTCCCCATATATATATATATATATATATATATATATATATATAATAGGAAATTGTTGAAGCGCCATCAGCCTACAAGAATTAATCCAAAAGTTGTAAACTTTGTCTGGAGAAGTAAGTAGATATAATTAATTACCTTCTCAGACAAACAGAAATTACTAAATAAAATATAAAACATTATCTCAAAATAGAGACAGGAAAAACACTGTTATTCCGTTAATACATACGACTACATACGACTCCAACGTAAAACATCATCAAGAAATATATATATATATATATATATATATATATATATATATATATGCGACATATAAAACGCAGGTATTGTAACATACCGACATATATATTTCTGATCTAAGGGACACGGAAGAAAATATGTATGTCAAAGAAATCCAAGGAAACAATAATAATAATAATAATAATAATAATAATAATAATAATCGACAGTATATATTTAATGAATAAATACAAAATATCCTAAGTAATAAAGTATGCGGTAAAAGTTAACTAACTACACAAACTATAAAGATGAGACTGTAGCTATTTGTAGCCATTATATATAATGACTATCATTCTTACTTAATAGTCTGTAGAATAAGTTGAAATATAAGCGTTTCCCGCTTACCCAATAACTGTTAATACTATAAACCTCGACCAGCATATTTAAATAGTTGAGTCAACGCACACCACATTGCGTTCAAACATCAAACAATCTGTCACCACTCGGTGTTCACTTGTGTGTGTGTATATATATATATATATATATATATATATATAAGTAAGTAATTCATCGAGTCTGAAACCTCAACAGAATGCAGAAAGCATTCGCCCTATATTTGGGACTCATCAGCAGTGCGCATCCACTACCGAGAATTGAAACCCTGACAGTTAGGTTGTCAAGCAAACATCATACCAACGGGCCTTGGTGACGAAGAGATTGCAAATCAGTCTCAATATAGCGCCGCTCGCTCACATATTACGTGGTGGAACTCAACTGAGATTCTCTCTAACCACAGGACTGTGCCTCCTGGAGCCACGACTACTATCACCAAGCCGCTCACTCTAGAGCATTAGAAGCCGGTTCAAGCAATGATATACACATGAGAAATTATTAAGAGGATTTGATAATTATATTTTAAGTAATTCATCCTAGTTTGGGACCTCAGCAGGGCGCATCCATCCCAAATAAGGACGAAATGGACAGCCAGTTTTTTCTGCATTCTGTTGAGGTTTCAAACTCGATGAATTACTTAAAATATAATTATCAAACCCTCTTAATAATAATAATAATAATAGTATATATATATATATATATATATATATATATTAAACTCTCTCTCTCATATATATATATATATATATATATATATATAGAGAGAGAGAGAGAGAGGACAGAAACATACTGAAATAAAGAAGTAAAAACTGAGGGATCTGAACAAAGACGAAGATTATGCATACACTTTTCAGAACGATAACGAGATAATTAGCTAACTAGAGGGCAGAGAACAGATAAATAGATAGAAGAGAACTAATATATATATATATATATATAGAGAGAGAGAGAGAGAGAACAAATAGTTATATAGATAGATAAAAAGAAAAGAACAGATAGATAGATCTAGAGATAGATATATAGACGGAAGAGAACAGATATATATATATATATATATATATATATATATATATATATATATACATAGATGTAAAAGAATAGATAGATACATACATACATACATAGATGTAAAAGAATAGATAGATACATACATACATACATACATACATACTTACATAGATGTAAAAGAATAGATAGATAGATACATACATACATATATGCAAAAGAATAGATAGATAGATACATACATACATAGATGTAAAAGAATAGATAGATAGATACATACATATATACATAGATATAAGAGAATAGATACATACATAGCTGTAAGAGAATATATAGATACATACATACATATATACATACATAGATGTAAGAAAATACATACATACATACATACATACATACATACATATAAGAGGATAGATAGATAGATAGGAGGAGGAGGAAAATACACGAAAAAGATAATATGTGAATCGGATTGCTAGTGAAGTGGAACCGGCAAAAAAGTATGTAGAACGTGTATTCAATCCAAGTTAAATGCGAGAAAACAAGAAGGACGAAGTGCCAATGTACAAATTCGATAAATGAATGTAGGAAAGGTCGAGAAGAGAAAAGCAAAAATCTCAGAAAAGAATGCAGGAACGAATGACGCAGAAAGTAATGCATAAATGACAATAGCTCGGATCCCAATTTCAATTCGCATTAAAGACGACGCAGACGACAAAAGCACACAACAGACGCCATCTGTGATAATGACATAACACCATATTCATTTGAGTGGATTCTCTGTTAGCTGCCGGAGAATCTGGATTTGAGGAGAATGTCCTCCATTTTTTTAAAAACATCTTTTCTTTCATTTTTTTAGCATTTAATTATGCTTTTCAATTTTATTTTATGTGAAGGGTTTGTGTCAAGTTCAAGCCAGAGGTAAAGAAATGCAATCGTTAGGACTCCAAAAGCTGTTTTGCAAGTGATTGTTGTTTTTTTAAATTTTTTTCCAGTTTTCATTTTGTATTTTTCTCTCATTCTCACTTATTATTTTTGATTTGTTATGTATCTATATTTGATTTACTGAATGTGTTTTAATTATCTTTCCTCCGCCTCAGCTTTCTGTCTTTTTTAAAGTTTTATTCCACTTAAGCATTGCTATCGCAGGCCTTAAAAAATACTTCATACACTTCACTTTGTACCTTTATTATCGTTTCTACTTTGCGACGAATTCTGTCTGCTTGTATTTAAGTATCTCTTTAAAAAATACATCTTTTCTTCTTTAATTTCACGTCTTTTCCCTGTTTAAATCATTCTGGTTCAAATTACAAACCGTTCCCCTTCGATAGCTTTCATTCTCATCTATTTTTTTTTTCAATTTTTCTTGTATCCGTTCTGTTTGTCTTTCATTTTCCCTTCTGCTTTTCTTTCTTTTCGATATCAGATTTCTTACATTATCTCGCATGCCTTTGTGTTGATTATGGACGGGTAGTGCAAAGGTTATCGGTGCCGGAAGTCGAATAGACAGGATGAGTTCAAATCCCGGCCTCGTTTTAACACTAGTGTCTTTATGAAATTCATAAATCAATATTTTCTTCTCCCCACAAGCTATGGATTAAATAGCAGACATAATTAGGCCATTCCACAATTGTGTGGAAACTACTTCAGAAGGATGATTTTGAATTCAAAACAGTGAAAATAAACAACACTCCACAATCTTTCCCAAGAAATCATGGTAATTCACAGAAAAGAAAGCAAAGAAAGCCGTGTAGTATCATGGTCGCCTAGGTCCTGAAAACACAATATTAAAAAAAAGGTGGACGGGTACAGTGGATTAATTAAGGATTAACAGCATCCAAGAAGCTACATGGAAGATAGTGTCGTGCGATTCTATCAAGTGGAGAGCAATCTTCCTTGAAAATCAGCATTTAAAATTGTGGTTTCCCGCCTCGACTGCAATATAAATCGTCAGAAATTGTAGAGAAAACTCATATGTTTCTGTTACTAGAGCGGTCCACGTAATCTTTAAGGTCTTATCTATGATTGACTATGAAAAGGCATTCGATTCAGTAGAACACTCAACAGTTTTTAACTAACGAAGAGAGTAGGATATTAATAAAATATATATATATATATAAGTCAAAGAAAAAATATACGGCAATAAAACAGCAATGATTCGAGCGGCTCAGATTGTGGAATCGAAGAGCTGAGTTCTAATTCCAGTCGAAGCCAGTATATTCACTTACGTGCTAATATTCTTGGGAAAGGTATGAATCCTCTTCTTCTTCTTCCCCCCCCCGGATTCAATAGCATTGGATAGCAACTGGTCTGCCGCAGAAAGAAATGGCAACCTACTGTGGGAAAAATATGTCTCGTCAGTCATGTCTCAAATGATGCATGGTCGTCTAAGCGTGTATCACGCATGGTACATAATTGACTGCTGGGTTATTTAATGACTAAATCTAAATATGAATATTCAGACTTCATAATTAATTCAAGATAATGACATGATTTCCTGATTAAGTTATAATTAGCTAGTATCATTATTTTTCAACAAATAATCTTGCAAAATATGATGAAGAGTGAAAATTTGTGTCACCTTGAAAGAAATGAGATTATTCATAGCAAACTATTTTTTGAAAAAGTATTCAAATTATTTAAAATGAATTGATTGTCATTTTGCTATAAAAATGTATTGTTTATCATTTAACTATAAAAGTGTACTGTTGTTCATCTGTCTATAAAAATGTATTGTTGATAATTCTGTTATAAAAAATGTATTGTTGATACTTTGCTATAAAAACGAATTGTCTATCATGTAACTATAAAAATGTATTGTTCATTTGGCCATAAAAATGTATTATTGATACATTGCTATAAAAATGTATTGTTTATCATTTAACTATAAAAATGTATTGTTTATCATTTTGTTATAAAAATGTATTGGGTATCATTTAACTATAAAAAATGTATTGTTTATCATTTAACTATAAAAATGTATTGTTTTCATTTGGCTATAAAAATGTATTGTTGATAATTTTGTTATAAAAATGTTTTATTTATCATTTAACTATAAAAATGTATTGTTGATTATTTTGCTATAAAAATGTATTGTTTTTCATTTTGTTATAAAAATGTATTGTTTATCATTTAACTATAAAAATGTATTGTTCTTTGTTTGGCTATAAAAATGTATTGTTGATACTTTGCTATAAAAATGTAATGTTTAACTATAAAAATGTATTGCTCTTCATTTGTTATAAAATGTTTTATTAAACATTTTCCTATAAAGATGTATTGTTGATTATCTCATTCTATAAAAGGCAAAAGGGTGTCTGTGTATGTGTGTGTGTGTGTGTGTGACGAATGCACGGCCGCAATTTTCGACGGATTTGCCCCAATATTTACATGCACATGCTCCAAGTTAGCGGAAGGCCATGACCGAATTTGCATTTTCCAACTCCTATCGATAATGGAAATAATCGATTTTTTCATGCTTCTACGGTAGTTTTCATGTAGGTTGCGGCCATTTTGTACTGGCCAGAGTGAGAGCCTATTGCTGGCTGCCACGAATAAGCAGGAAGATTCTATTGGTCAGCATGAGAGCCAACAGCTGACTGACACGAATGTTAACTAGCATGCTAGCATGCAAAAAAAAAATCGATAGCTGCATTCGTCACAAGTGGGAAAAATTTAAATCTGCATGGCACTTTACTCCAATTGGCTCATTCGCTTGCTTAATCTCAACGTTGATTCTGATTCCGTAGAACTGTGTTGTGTGTGAGAAAGTACTTGTTGTTAAATTTTTTTTTCATTCAGTTTTTCCAATTACGAGTCCTTTTTTTTTTTAAAGCTGATCCATTTGTGTTCATTTTGTTTAGTTCTTTTTTCGTAACAGATTTAATGTTTAGTATAGAGCTTAGAAAAAATTTGCAGTGTGAGATAGGCAAGAAGTAAGGCATGTGACAACATCAGTACGGCAAAGGGCACTCCTTTAAAGGCAAGGAAGGGCAAAAATATTTTAAGTCAAGTGATAGCGATTGCTGTATGAGTCTTTGGCAGATTGATAATAAAAGCAGAAAAGGTGGAGATCCGAGGAGTGAGAATTTGAGGAAGCGCATATTGATCGTATGGATTAACTATTAACAAAGACATTCATGAACATACCAGAAACAAACAACTTGCTAAATTAATTGAGCTTTTACTAATGTTTTACGTGTTGGATGAATTAAAATAAAGGCGAGATGGCCTAAATAGGAAAAGTCTCAAGGTAAATCTACAAATTTCAAAACGAAGAAGAATGAAAACGTAATGTTCAGTTATAATGTACAGAATAAAGGTCACAACAATACATGAGGTAGCGAATTAAAAGATCCAGGAATATGTATACAAAATATGTCCACAAAATGTAAGTCAGATATGCAACTGGTCGTTTTGTTATGTCTGGGGCTTAACGCTTTCAATGAAAGATAATAGTGAACAACAAGAAATATTTACATCCTTAATAGAAATTTGATTGCTGACTAATAGATCAAAAAAATTGCGTGTGGTTTGTGCTGAGTTGCTACAAGGTTTGAAAAAATTGATTACTTATCGAAAATGGCTGGAAGATAATTATCAAATTTCGGCAACATGGACGGGAGCTCTGAAAATATAGATTTGCAGCCAGATTATTAACAGAATTTGATGTGAATGACTGCTGGAATCTTTTGAAGTATTAAAAGACGAGGAACAAATGTTGAAAAACCTCATCCACTCGGTTTAAAACTAGATTATAACAATGAAAATATGAGAAAAGGAGGAAAAGAATATAGGAAGAACAAGAATGCCAACAAAGTGAGATTGGGGTAGAAATACAGGATGCCGAATATACTCATCATAACAACCAGTCTAATAAGGGTATACAAGGTACATGCATCTCAGCCAAATGCCCGCGACACGATAACAGGTTTTGATAAAACCAGCGCATAACCCCGCAGGATATCTACCAACCACCCCACGCGGTCAGATATGGTACAAAGCCGAATTTAATGTGGGTTTATCCAAGGCCGTAGGCTCGGCCAAAAATTCCCAGTAGATGCCGTATAAAACGAAGTCGGGTAGCTGTTTCCAGAAACTAAACTCTGTCAGCGCATAACCCTGCAGGTTGTTGTAAAGTAGGACCTAGCATACTTCCTGCTCTTCCCTACTACACCAATAATGGACTGCTCCTGCTTATAAATATGACAAGTAGCCACATTAGTGAAGGGTTTGAGTAGTATTTGATTTACTCAAGTTATTGTATGTATGAGTATTAAATAGACCGTTCTTTCATTATTTTTCTCCTCCTAATCTTCTGTTCCTTTAATGCTCTCTCTAAGTACGGCCTTCCTCCGTCCTGGATAAGACAATAAACTACATGTGGCATCACCTCTTAATTGCTGTTGTTCCCAAGCCCAACCTGACCCAGGGTTATAGCACTTGTTAGGGTCCCAGGTATGGGTAAATAGTTAACCCGCAAATAGAAGTCAAAATACAATAAAAAGTATAAAAATACATTTTTATAGTAAAAATATCAACGATACATTTTGATAGAAAAGAAAAAAATACCAGTAATATATTTTTGTAAAAGAAATTACTAATACTACCAAGAAAATTACATTTTGGCATTAAATGATTTATGAGTTGATATGCCGCTA